ACAGCTCCTCCTCTGGGCTGTGTCTCTGAACCGAGCTTCCTCATCACAGAGCACGCCTCCCCACCCCCCACCGCCCCGCCTCACCACTCCAGCAGCAACAACTAGCAAACACCCGGTGAAAACCATGTCTACTGAGCTATACTACTTCTCAGTGCAGCCACATGTATCCTGAGTTGCAATTTTTCCAAAACCGATCTTGTATAATGTTGCTGCTTTTTACATTATCATTACAACAAAGCAGGCTACAGCACTCCAGGTTGTAAACATGAGAGAAGTGGCTGTGATGACGTGCTGAAATGGGTGTGATGGGATCAGAAAGAGGTTCTTAAAAAGATAAAGGCCAATTTCAAGGTGTTAGAAATGAAAATGAATAAGTCGAGTTTATTTTTGATTTGAACATGAAAACAGCGTTTTAATAACAACTGAAGTAACATAGTTACTTTATTATGGTATAGAATTTCAACACATGCCTGGGAAACACATAATATTGCCCCTTTAAAGCAGGTTAAGAGAGCCTGGAGAGGTGAAGATATGTTTTAGAAATCTGTGTGTTAAAGCTCATCAGCGCAAACTGGATCTCTTCCAATAGTTTAACTCAAACTTTCATCTCATTTAACCTGAAACTAAAAGTCTGGTATGGTTATACTCTTCTGTGTATTTATCACCATTCTGCAGAGATTTATCTCTCTATTTTATGTTGTGATTTTTATTTTTCGTTCTAGTCGTACGTCAATTGATCACATTCAAAAGATCAGTTACAGGAACAGTTATGCTTTTGTTGCACACTGCTGGTAAAACAAGATGTAACTCTCCTGCGTGTCCTTCAGGACTTCACCATGACTCTGTACCTGCGTCACTACTGGAAGGATGAGAGGCTGTCGTTTCCGTCTCACAGCAACCAGAGCCGGACGTTCGACTCCCGACTGGTGAAGAAGATCTGGGTTCCCGACGTCTTCTTTGTCCACTCCAAACGCTCCTTCATCCACGACACCACCAACGAGAACATCATGCTGCGGGTTTACCCCGACGGGAACATCCTCTACAGTGTCAGGTACAAAGCAATGCGACTGAAGGCGAATGTTTATATATTTTAGCTTTTCTCTGCCTGTGGCTCAAAAGTCTTGCATTCAATTAGAGTCAAACCCTGGAAATATAACAGTATGTTAAATGGAAAATGGTGGGAAATGCATGAAGTTTTGTTTCAATGTGTTTCAGGGCGACTGTAACAGCTCTCTGCTCGATGGACTTCAGCAGTTTTCCACTGGACACTCAGAACTGCTCGCTGGAGCTGGAGAGCTGTGAGAAAACACACAATTTACCCAAACTGGACCGCTGCTGGTCCTCACAGCAGGACATCCAACGGGTGACTGAAGGGACACCCCGTCCTTCTGTTTCTGTCTGCAGATGCCTACAACGAGAACGACCTGATGCTGTACTGGAAGAACGGGAACGACTCCCTGAGGACAGATGAGATCGTCTTGTCTCAGTTCTTCATCGAGAATTTTCATGCCTCCAGCGGCCTCGCGTTCTACAGCAGCACCGGTGAGTCGATTACATCCTTCCTGATTTTAGGGTTTCGTTTTGTGGTCTTATCCTCACAATGAGATGACTTCCTGTAGTTTTAATCAAACTAACCATCTGATTCTGTGGTCTTTAATTGTGATGGAASTACTAAAACTAAATCAAACAAAAAARCGTCTTTTTGTTTTTGTCTGACAGGTTGGTACAATCGTCTCTTTATAAACTTCATCCTGCGGCGGCACATYTTCTTCTTCATGCTGCAGACGTACTTCCCCACCATGCTGATGGTCGTCCTCTCCTGGGTCTCCTTCTGGATCGACCGGAGGGCCGTTCCTGCTCGAGTGTCTCTGGGTAAAACACACATTTGCTACGAACTAAAATATGTTTATATGAAACACTTCTACAACCCTACACAAAAAGATTACACAGTCACTATTAAAAAGTATTTTTACATTTTGCTTATGTTGTACATTTTATACCTGCGTGTTTTAATTTTTTGTTGTTTCACACCTTCGCCATTCTTACATTTCAATGATTGTTTTGTTTTAATATAAATTTAAGTTAGAATTTTCAGCTRTGTGCAGATCAGTCACAAAAAGCATTTTACTGCAAGTTGTGCTGTGTATTACTGTGTATTACTGTGTATGTGACAAATAAAATTTGATTTGCTTTTAGAGTGCTAGGACATTGATCTGTATCCAAAATTTTTACCCAAATTCAACACTTCTAAGACGAAAGAGATGATTATTGACTTCAGGAGGAGGAAGTTTGACCTGCAGCCACTTCACATCAGGGGAGAGTGTGTGGAGAGGGGGCCCAACTTCAAGTTTCTGGGCGTGCAACTGGACGAAGATCTCCGGTGGAGCTCTAACACTACAACAGTAGTGAAGAAGGCTCAGCAAGGTCTCCATTTTTTAAGGATCCTTAGGAGAATGAAACTAAGGAAGGAGCTGCTGGCTGTCTTTTATCGCTGCTCTATTGAGAGTGTGCTCACTTATTGCATCTCTGTGTGGTTTTCAAGCTGCACCATGGCGCACAAGAAGGCCTTACAAAAAGTTGGTAACATCGCCCAGAAAATCATTGGCGACACACTCCCATCCCTGGAAGACCTCTACAAAACCTGCTGTCTCAAGAGGACACGCAACATCCTAAAAGACAAAACGCACCCAGGACACCGGGTGTTTGAGCTGCTGCCCACCGGCAGGAGATCCAGGCTGCTGAAATCACAGACCAACAGACTCAGGAACAGTTTTTACAGCAGGGCAATAGCCCTACTGAATGCACACTGACCCTACATTGTACTATTATCGTTTTATTATTTTATTTTATTTTATTT